TTCCCCCAAAGGATTTGGAGCTGCTTGCGTAAGACATAAAATGGAACAGGATAAATGAAATAAACCAGAGAGCAGCAAGATAGGAAATGAAACACCAAACACAGCTTAGTGTAAGTTAGTGCACCAAGCGCGTGCAGTGCATGTAGTGCTCCCATCAGAGGTGGGTCCTGGATTTGCCTCTGAATGTTCGCAGTCAGCTCAGAGAGATTGCCAGTAAGGAGTACCGTGAAGGACAGTCACCTGGTGACGCAGAAGAACAATTTTTCTTGGTAGTCAGTTCTCCAGGGGCTCCTCCTAAAGAAAACACTAATACTGTGGACAGAATGACCAAAAATACACTTACAAGGAAATACAATGTGAAGTCATTGGGTGGTTTGGTAATTTTTCTTGACACCACCAACTTATAGCAAAATGCCAAAATAAAATTCTGGAGAAGAATCAAATAATGATGACTTATTAATTAATGCTTGATGATACAGTTGGTTCCATTTTGAATTTTTAATTAACACATTCCTCAATAATCTGGGAGCTATTGTACTCCTCTACAAAGACAGTGTCATAAATGAATATGAATCAGGTTATAAGAGAATGTTTCATTACTCTCTATCTTTAGGCAGAAAGGCTAACAAAGAACCAAGTCCTCTTTGAAACCATGCCTTGATTTCCTATCCTCAGTCCAACTGTCATTGAAATGTGATCCAACAGAGATGGGTGTGTAGGAACTTTGATGCCTATGGGGCTGTTGGGTCTAACCTTGGGGTACTGGGCCACAGGCACTGACTGGGGACAAAGTAGTGAAAGTTGTTAGCAGCTTTGAGAGAAACTGTATTGAAACAGAGGAGGAATGTTCAGGAGCTGCTCAGAGCAGCTGGCTCCAGGATTGGGATGATAGTGCTTATAAAAGGGGCACTGAGGCCAGGCGCGGTGGCTCACGCCTGTAATCCTAGCACTCTGGGAGGTCGAGGCGGGCGGATTGCTCGAGGTCAGGAGTTTGAAACCACCCTGAGCAAGAGCGAGACCCCGTCTCTACTATAAATAGAAACAAATTAATTGGCCAACTAATATATATAGAAAAAATTAGCCGGGCATGGTGGCACATGCCTGTAGTCCCAGCTACTCGGGAGGCTGAGGCAGGAGGATTGCTTGAGCCCAGGAGTTTGAGGTTGCTGTGAGCTAGGCTGACGCCATGGCACTCACTCTAGCCTGGGCAACAAAGCGAGACTCTGTCTCAAAAAAATAAAAAATAAAAAATAAATAAATAAATAAATAAAAGGGGCACATGGAGAATTTTATAGGCAGAAATAAAATCAGGTAGCTCTGACAAGCACATTTTTTCAGAATAAGACTAAGGAGTGGATCCTAGGACCTTAGCAGAATTATGAAAAAGTTCTATGGTTTGGATTGAGAAGTTGAGTTAGAAATGATTATTAGAAAACCAATTATGTATGAACTTAGCCCAGAGTGAACAGACTAACAGTACTGGGTACTTCTGGTAGATTTGGGTTTAGTCTATACATCCAAGATCCGCTTTCTCTTCTGCAGTCAGATGCATGATTAAACAACTGAGAGCTAATGTAAACATTCTGTGTATGGTAAGAAGAAAATTATCTAATCAGTGCTAAGATTAGCTAGGGGACCCTAGATTTGGAGTCTGACCTGGCTTGGTTTGGTCAAACGAGATGAGATGCACATCCGTACGATCTTAAAGTGTAGAAAGAGGATAGGATAAGAAAATCCTGGACTGATAGAGCCATAAGCTGTCCCTTAAAGCTGGCTGATGGTTTATGGGGATTGATTTTTCTATTCTTTCTCATTTTGAACATGTTTGAAAATTTTCCATGTTAAAACTTTTTAAAAAGCAAAAAGAAATATAGAGGAGTTGTTTTAGGACAAAAGGAAGAGCACAGTTTTGGAAAGTAAGTCAGACTAACAAATTTACACAAAGAACTGGTACATGCTTAAAATATAAATTGGTTCAGATAGTAGCTAAATAGCTAAATTTGTGAATTATAGGTATATAACCTCAGGGACACAAGGATAGTTTGGATTTATTTTATTTGCCATGGGATAAAGAAAATAATCATTTTCTCTAAAAGAAAAAATACACAGTTGTCCTTTTCGACTCTAGGATAACCAGGCTATCATTTTTAGACCCAAGCTACACCCTTCTTCTTTCAACTGCAGGGAATACTTTAATCATTTCACAAGCAAACCCTTTATGGAAACATGTCCCTACCACAATCTGACTTTATACTCACTTCAGACAAAATTCTAGTTTAAACCTTTCTATATAAGTTCTGAAGTGACCTCTGATTGGTTCAAGGCCAGTTAGAGTCCCTGCCCATGAATTTCACCATCCCCCATCTCTCCTTATTGAGATAGACAGCCCTGTTCCTTATCTTCCTACACACTATTCCTATTTCTGAACTAATTTAATTATTCCTTTCTGAAACATTCTTCTCTCTGGTGAATCGTAATCATTCCTCTTCAGAGAGGTCAGTTCTTCCTGGTAAGTTAACTTAGTTCTGCTTATCAAATCTGATATTTTCATTTCTGGTCCCTCCGCCCCTAAATCTAGTCAACTCAGAGCCTTGGCATTTACATGGTAATTCCCAAAGGCCGCAGACAAGGACGTCAGCCTTACCTTGGACTAAAGGCAAGATGAAGGCATGAGCCAGAACTAGGAGAAGAGCCAGGGTGTGACGAAGCCCAGGGTCACAGTGCAAGCCCACCAGCCACATAGCTGGGACCAGGATTTTGTAGGTAGTTGATCAGAACTGAGAGGTAATGATCAGATTGAAGATTTATTGAGGTCAAAGACTAAGAGCCATGATCACAAGACAGATATTAAATGGCTGGAGCAAAAAGTAGCAGGTAGACGGGTTAAAATAATGAGAATAGAAAGCACTTGTGAAATTGATAATGGCTTTGTCTCCATATTTTAAACTTTAAACCATGCTTATCTGAATAACTGTTGATTTCTGCTTATTGAAAGAGCTTAGATGATGGAATAGAAAAACCCTATTGGCTGGGCGCGGTGGCTCATGCTTGTAATCCTAGCTCTCTGGGAGGCCGGGGCGGGCAGATCGCTCGAGGTCAGGAATTCAAAACCAGCCTGAGCAAGAGCGAGATGCCGTCTCTACTATAAATAGAAAGAAATTAATTAGCCAACTAATATATATAGAAAAAATTAGCCGGGCATGGTGGCGCATGCCTGTAGTCCCAGCTACTTGGGAGGCTGAGGCAGCAGGATTGCTTGAGCCCAGGAGATTGAGGTTGCTGTGAGCTAGGCTGACGCCACGGCACTCACTCTAGCCTGGGCAACAAAGCGAGACTCTGTCTCAAAAAAAAAAAAAAATTTATTCCCTGAGCACACACAAAGTGCCAGTGGAGGGGGAACCTCAGAAATACACTAGGTGTTAGGGAAAGCCATTCTGGGGTTAAACATTTTCACAGGTAATTGTCAAAGTGGGTCATCTACATGCAGACAAATTATCTGTTTTTCTCTTCAGTTAATGGTTTACATTTTTTTTCTCCCTGAAACTTTTGCTTCTCTGTTTTGTGTGGAAATGTTACTCCAAAGACCCAGTGCTGATGTTTAGGAGGCCCCCCGAAAGCCATGCTGGTTATTGGCTTAATCTTACAGGCAAGAGGAAACCAGTCAAAGGTGTTACAATAAGCATGGAATTGATAAGATCAGAATTTTTATTTGAAAAAAATTGCTTGCTAGCAAGTGGAAATGGATTAAAAGGAAGAAGAGTTGTTGTAAGCGTACCAGTTAGGTTTGTTATAGTGGTTCAGATCAAACCATTATGATAGTGGCCTACCAGACACTGGGTTGTTATGTGGGGACAGAGAGAAGAAAGAGACTTCACAACGGACAGGTTTTGCACTTTCATCATTATTGAGGCTGGATGATGAGTTCATGGGGTAGATTTTATTATTCTTTCTAATTTTTAATGTATTTGAATTTTTATACAATAGAACATTGTATGAAAAATGGACAGGTTGTGTTGATGGCATAGATGTTGGAAAGGAGGAGTTGTGCTTCCTGGGTGCCTGGCTGGACCCGCTGGGCTGAGTGGTGGCGTTCAGAGAGAGAGCTCCAGAGGACGCAGGCTGGTGGGGCAGGGGATCGGGTCATCTCTGTCCCGGAGTTTGGGAATCCCATGAGACGTCCAACGGCAGGTTGTGCGAGCTCAGTGGGGAAGTTGGGTCTAGAGATATAAGTATGTTGATTGTTGGCGAAAGAACAACGATCGAAATCATGTGGGAGTGAGACAAAACCTGAGAGATGTCGGATTTCTTACATGCAAAAGGCTCTCCTGTGCCACCGAGTAAACAGTCAGGAATCGGGCAAGTTACTACTTCCTTCCCTTTTTTAAACCTCAAAAATCCATTCTTCGTTTTCTTGAATAAACATGCAGTTGATCCAGCTGATCTTTTCTCTCCCCTTATGTCTGTTGCTTTTATAACCTGGCCTCTCCCTGCCCCTTAAGGACAGTCCCTTGCCTCCTGATTGCTAAGTCCACTCACGTTTTGAATGTCTTTTCTATGTTTGACACTGCCGACTCCTCCTCCCTTAAAATTCTTTCTGTATTATTCCAGCGTGTGCCTCTTTGCCTGGCCCTTGCCAGGTTTCTAAATGGCTTTTCTCTGGACCTCAGATGCTAAATTCAAATTTCCCAGGCACAGTGTTTTGGTGCACTCTGCCCTTCGTGAGTTCTATTCAAACCCTCCCTTTGCACTAGCCGGACTCCCGTCTGGGTCTTCTGTAGTAGAAGGAATCTTGGAATTGGAGTCTGAAGACTTCTTTGCTCTTGAAACATGTCTTTCCAAATGGGAATTCCTTCCTGGCATTCCTTGAGAAATTTATATTTTTCCAATTCTGCTTCTGAGAAAAATTGGTCCAAAAAGTCAAGAAAACGGGAAAAGTATTATGATTCTGAAACATTATAGTCAATATAGAGACATTACTGGTTGAAAGACATCCATCAATGACAAGTCACAAGCAAGAGCAGGGCTCCCTGATGGCGTGGAGTTGAAGGTCAAGGTTGGCATGCTCAGGAACCGGGACGAGAACTTGTGGCAGGGCAGCTGTGCTGGCTGCCAGGTGGGTGAGGCCTTGCCGCTCGCGTGGGTCTGAGGCTCCTCTGCTGCTAAGTGTGGACCATTCCTGCAACTGAAATAAGCACATTTTTATATGTAATATACTTTCTGTAAATCCTCTGGTGTTCCAAAAATTGCAAGTTTTGGAAGCAAAATAAGTCCTTAAATTGGCACTTTTGACATGCAATTCTTTGTAATACTGTTAACCTTACCAGGAGGTCTGAATGCTCCTTATTTGAATAGAGTGTGCTGGCATTTCCCAGTGCTCGGATCCTCACTGCAGGCTAGAGTTCTTTGCAAATACTGTAACAAAAGGAATATGAGGGGAAAATACTAATGTTGTGGAGTAATCTGACATGAAATCAAAAAGCAACCTGCAGTCAAAATCAGCAGAAGCAATGTTGATTTCGGTGTCAAAACCAAAATTAGGTCAAACAAAGATATTTGCATTGTTTAAAAAGCAGCAGCTCCCAGGGCGTGAGGCGTGCGCCGGTGCTTTGGGCTGCGCTCAGAGCGGCACCGTCAGAGCAGGCAGGGCAGCGTCTCTGCACCTGGAGCAGCTGTCCCGAAACAGAGAGGGGATTGTCTGATGGGGCAGTTGATGCTCTGTGTGTTTTAACATTTGAAGATGGTAACTTTAAAATATTAAGTGTCTCTGGTATTACCTTTCAGTATTTTACGTGATTTTTATTTGGCAGTTATGTTGCATTAAGTTCCTGTTTAGTTTATCAAATGTTTATATTGGGTAGAGACCATATGTATGTCTTATTGAAATTCTAATCTTACCACAATCTGTTTGTTTGTTCATAATAGTAAATCTTGCATTTATTTTGTGTAGGAAACCTCTTAAACTCTTAGTATAACCCTATTACAGAAAAATTATTCATTTTTACTGGTTATTCATTATTATTTAAAAAGAAGTAAATCAAATGTTACAAAAAATACAGAATAATTAGAACTCGCAGGACTCTGGTTTCTCCCGCTTGAATCCTGCACATTAACACGGCAGGGATCTGGAAACATTAGCAGGTCTCTTAAGGCCCCTGAACCTCAGCCTGCCTGGGTGAGGGGACAGTCAGGAGCTCTCCTGGCTCACGCATGACACCCTCCTCCTTGACCACCTTCCTCTCTCTGCGCCCGCCGTCCGTGAGCCCGGGCCACCAAGCCCAGGCTCGGCCTCGGTTGCCTCTGTGTGACCTGGCACCTGCACTTGCCTTTTCAGAGCCATGAGGAGATGCCCAGCTTGAGGTCGGGCTGCCTGGGGGGCCCAGCCCCACTCTGCCACCACTTACCCTCGGCCAGGTGCTTAACTGTGGCTCAGTGTCTTCATCTGTCAGATGGGGATTAAAATAGTGCCACCTCACTGCGTCGTTGTGACAGTCCCCAGGAAGGGCTCGGCAGTGTCTTGCGTGCAGAGTACCCGGCAACAACCGAGATCTATTTTTTATCGCAAGGCTCTGTCTCCGTGGCCTCCCATCATTCCTGTTGTCTTTCACTACCTGAGCCTCGCAGGGCTGCTCTTCCCATTTCATTTCCATCACGTTCCTTTGTCTGGGGACTCCCCCGCGAGGCCGGACTCCCCATGTGGTCGGCCTGGCCTCGCCACCTCGCTCCCCGTTGGTGTCCACACGAACCTTCCGGTTGCTGCCTGCGTGTGGACCCCCTCCCAGCCCCTGCTCTTCCTTGCACCTGAGCTCCATGTGGTTTTTTCGTAATCACCTGGCCGACTGCATTCTAGGCTATTGGCTGATCATCAATCTCCCTGGCTGATTGGTTTCTCCGGCTGAAACAAAGTCCAGAAAGTGAACTTTTAACAACAAAAAATTGGTTAAGCAAAGCTGTCACACTGAAAAGTTTGTTTCCATGATCCCGTTAAGGTTTTACTGCTTGTAATAGGAGCTCGAAGTCAGTAATTTTGGTCAGATGCAGTGGCTCACGCCTGTCATCCCCGCACTTGGGGAGGCCAAGGCTCGAGGATTGCTGGAGGCTGGGAGTTCAAGGACCAGCCTGAGTGAGATAGCAAGACCTGTCTCTACCAAAAAATAGAAAAATTAGCCAGTCGTGGTGGTGTGGGCGCCTAAAGTCCCAGCTGCTCAGGAGGCTGAGGCAGGGGGATCACAGGAGCCCCAGGTGACCCATGATCGCGCCACTACATTATAGACCGGCAACAGAGTGAGAACCTGTCTCAAAAAAAAAAAAAAATCAGTAATTTGAGTGTGGCTAATATGTTGTCTTTTATTATGTACGTGAACAAAATGTCTTGTGTATTTCAGTGATAGAACCAAAAGTATTTCTTGATCTTACTTTTTTAACTTCTTTGGAGAAGTATGTATAGTTTTTAGAATATTTTATGAAGCAATGTATACATTAACATACAATTTAATCCCCAGTGACCAACTTTTGTTTCTCTTTCCCCTACTTAAGGACCCCAAAATGTATGTACAGACAGTGCTAGATGTTCATAAAAAATACAACGCCCTGGTCATGTCTGCATTTAACAACGATGCTGGCTTTGTGGCTGCTCTGGATAAGGTAGGCGCGTCACTGTCCTAACGTCCCCACGTGTGGGCGGATGGGGCGCTTTTCTCTAACTGTGTTCTGCGCAACGCAGGCCTGCGGTCGCTTCATCAACAACAATGCCGTCACCAAGATGGCCCAGTCGTCCAGCAAGTCCCCTGAGCTGCTGGCCCGGTACTGCGACTCCTTGCTGAAGAAGAGGTATCAGATAACTGTGTGTTTTTTCTTAGCCTGTTTAAAATCTCAGCTTTTACATAAGGAATTTAAATTTATCTTCCATTTTACGTACCTTAAATTATAAATTTTCAAACAGCATACATCATCTTTCCAGTTGAAAATCTGTATTAGCTCCTACTGGCTATTTCTAAAATAGAAGACTCTCCGTATACTATAGGGCTTTTGTTGTTCTTTTTTTTTTTTTGAGACAGAGTCTCACTTTTGTTGCCCTGGCTAGAGTGAGTGCCGTGGCGTCAGCCTAGCTCACAGCAACCTCAAACTCCTGGGCTCAAGCAATCCTTCTGCCTCAGCCTCCCGAGTAGCTAGGACTACAGGCATGCACCACCATGCCTGGCTAATTTTTTGTATATATATTTTTAGTTGGTCAATTAATTTCTTTCTATTTTTAGTAGAGACGGGGTCTCGCTCAGGATGGTTTCGAACTCCCAACCTCGAGCAATCCGGCCACCTCGGCCTCCCAGAGTGCTAGGATTACAGGCGTGAGCCACCGCGCCCGGCCTATTCTTTGTCTTTTGAAAGTTGTTTTTGTTTGTCAAGTTTGTTTTATTATTTCATATTCTTTACTTTTTAATCATCTTATTTCTCAACTAGTGTATTTCCTAATCAGTTTGTGTATTAAGAGCTGAAGCAATATATTATAATACAGTTCCCTCCTCAGTCCTCACTGATTTTTTTGTTTGTGTGCTTGTTTTGGTTTTCTGAGCACCTCTTTCATTGTAACAGTTTCTTTCACTTTAGAAATATTCAAGTTTTATTTTACTATTCCAAGTATCACATCAGCAAGTGTTAAAGATTTTAATGAAGGAAGATAATTCCCTTCTGGCTTTCTGTTGCAATAGTTTTCCATGTCCCCAAATTATACTGGTTTTGGGGGGAGTTTTGTGGTTTCGTTTTGTTTGAGACAGCATCTCATTCTGTGGCCCTGGGTAGAGTGCGGTGACGTCAGCCTAGCTCACAGCAACCTCAAACTCCTGGGCTCAGGCGTTCCTCCAGCCTCAGCCTCCTGAGTAGCTGGGACTACAGGCATGCGCCACCATGCCCGGCTAACTTTTTCTATTTTTAGTAGAGAACGGGTCTTGCTTTTGCTCAGGCTGGTCTCGAACTCCTGAATTCAAGCTATCCTCCCACCTCGGTCTCCCAGAGTGCTAGGATTATAGGCGTGAGCCACCGCATCTGGCCTATACAGGTTTTAATATTAACAAGTTATATTTTAAGTAGCTCTCTAAGGCTAGCATAACCCCAATATAAAAAAGACTGAGAATACTTACACGTACCAGAATAAACAGACTACAAATAAGACTCACTTAAGAATAGAGGTGCAGAAATCTTAAGTAAAATATTAGCAAACCAAATTTATCAGTTAACTAAAGAATAATTCTTCAAAACACAGCATCACTTTCTAGGAACGTAAGAATGCTTCACAGCAGCAAATCTAATGTGCTTTGTGAACAGACAAGTATGGGAAAAACTTGTGTGGTCTTCTTGGTAGATGGTGGGAAAACATTTGATAAAACTGTTGCTTTTAACTTCGCCAGAAAGCCATTTGTTGGAGGCCAGTGAGAAACTGAGTTTCTGATTTTTTTCCCTGTTTATTGCAGTGTTGGTCTAATGTATAATTTGGCAATTCTAGTCAGATCCTCCAATGTATCCTCTACAGGAATTAAAAGGGACTTTAAATCGGAATGCCTCTGATGAGTTGATTTCATTTGTTTTCAGGCTATGTAATATGATGAATTTAAGTGATGTAAATATGGAGATCCTCTGTTAGGTCTTCAGTTTGGTTTCACAAAACACACAGTGTCCTTTGTATCTCTTGTCTTTTTGTAAATGGCCCTCATCAAGTCTGTTGATATGGGCCTTATTGATTAGGGCTCCTGAAGCAGACAGACTGGCAGAGATATTTCCAAAGCTGCTCTTTAACAAGCTTGTCTAAATGTATTAGAGAAGAGAGTCTAGTAGGTCCTAAGTTAAACTGTTCCCAGGAAAGAGAAACAGCTGTGACCTATTAGTGGGAAGAATAGGATTGTTTTTTCTGAGCCAACTATTCCTTTTTTTTTTTTTTTTTTTTTTTTGAGACACAGTCTCACTCTATTGCCCGGGCTAGAGTGCCATAGCGTCAGCCTAGCTCACAGCAATCTCCAACTCATAGGCTCAAGCGATCCTTCTGCCTCAGCCTCCTGAGTAGCTGGGACTACAGGCATGCGCCACCATGCCCGGCTAATTTTTTCTATATATATTTTTAGTTGTCCAATTTCTTTCTATTTTTTGGTAGCGACAGGGTCTCGCTTTTGCTCAGGCTGGTTTTGAACTCCTAACCCTCGAGCTATCCACCTCTTTGGCCTCCCAGAGTGCTAGGATTACAGGCATGAGCCACCACACCTGGCCTGAGCCAACTATTGTTTTTTTGAGACAGAGTCTCACTCTCTTGCCTGGGCTAGAGTGCCTTGGCATCAACCTAGCTCACAGCAACCTCAGACTCTTGGGCTCAAGTGATCCTCCTGTCTCAGCCTCCTGAGTAGCTGGGACTACAGGCACACGCCACCGTGCCCGGCTAATTTTTTATATTTTTAGTTGCTTGGTTAATTTCTTTCTATTTATGGTTAGAGATGGGGTCTCGCTCTTGCTCGGGCTGGTCTCGAACTCCTGAGCTCAAGCAATCCTCCCTCCTCGGCCTCACAGAGTGCTAGGATTACAGGTGTGAGCCACCGTGCCCAGCTCCAACTATTCTTAAGTTAAAGACACCTCTTTGAATGGAAAGCATCACTTTAGTAGTAATTTAAACACTTTCATTATCTTAAATTATTAGGCCATTAAAAGGAAGCTGTCTTTTTGTTTTTTTCTAAAGTTAAATTACAGCAGAATGTAGATAAAAATTGCAAAAGTAAAGCTCCTTTACTTAGATTTAAGTGGATTATCTGAAAGGAAAACTTCATTCACGGTGTTTTTGGAAACTTTTAGTAAATATCTTCTGTTGATTTTCATCTTGGATGTTCTAAGTGATTGTTTCTGTTCTTCCATGATGGGGTTACAGTATGAGATTGCTAAATTGCTATAGGTAAGGAAAGTTAACTGTCCCTTACCCCATGTACTGATCTGAAGAGAACTGATCATTTGAGTGCGTGGAACCACATACTGATAAGGTAATTTGGCTTAGTGGTGCTTGTTTAAATGTTTTCCGATTTGTTTTAAAACATGATGCCTTTTTAAAAATTTCAGTTCCAAGAACCCAGAAGAGGCAGAGCTGGAAGACACACTCAATCAAGTGGTAAGGTGCTTCATAATCACATCCATTTTCAATAGCTGTTTATTTCACAAGTTGTTTGTAAGGTTATTTTTATAGGGCATCTGGGATGTAAAAAAATAATAATCGTTGATTTTATTTAAAATCTATGGTTTTACTCCCTAACTAAGTCATTACTTTTAGCATTTGTTCTTTTTCATTAGTACTAAATCTAGTACACCTTAATGTGATTGAAAGGGATTGATGAAAGTATTTACATTAGACTCCAGGGCAGGTTTTTTGCCATCATAAATGTTGGCATAGGGCCAAGCCAAAACCAAGCCCAAGTCGAGGGTCCTGGCGATTGGCTGGCCACAGTGGGCTTTGCACAGTCAGCTCCTGAGTGTTCATTACGTGCGTTCTCTTGGCGGCTTGGCCAGATGGTCGTCTTCAAGTACATAGAGGACAAGGACGTGTTTCAGAAGTTCTACGCGAAGATGCTGGCCAAGAGGCTCGTGCATCAGAACAGCGCAAGCGATGATGCCGAGGCGAGCATGATATCCAAGCTGAAGGTGGGTTTCGGCTCCTCCGGAAAACCCCGGCTTTGGGGTCATTGTTAAAATAGTTCTTGATCTCTCTCAGTCACCAAGCGGGCGAAGGAGCTTGTGCAGCACTTTGCAAAGTGTGAGCTCAGCTGCTCCGCTGCTGGACACCTGTCGCGGCCAGCGTTCTGCTCTCCCGGCCCTTCCCCACTCTTTGGGCCCTTCTGCCCACCACCCGGGCCCCGTCTCCTGCTTCCCACACCTTTGGCCTTGGACCACATTCACATTTAGTTGGCTTTGAGCTGGTTGGATATTTTGCTTGGCTCTGGGCTTGGTTAACTCTCTATATCCCCGTAGCTACAGAAAGGCAGGAGGTATCAGTGTTAGTTTGCTATCGAGCAGTTCTTCCTTATTCCGCCTCCTTTGCCATTTCAGTGCTTGCCAGGCGGCTTGTACACATCTTAGAACATATTTTACTTTGACATCAAATTTTAGTTACATGGGTGTTTTTGTGTGCTCGGGCTGTGATGACAAAATACCATAGACCAGGCGGCTTAAATAACCAAAATTGATTCTCACTGTTTTGGAGGCTGAGAATTCCAAGATGAAGGTGCCAGCTGATTCGGTTCCTGGTTTGCAAGCAGCTGCCCTCTCGCTGTGTCCTCACCTGGCGGAGGGAGGGAGGGCAGATCTCTCTCGTGTCTCTCCTTACGTGAGGACACCAGTCCCTTAGTGAGGGCCCCGCCTCAAGCCCTCATCTAAGCCTAATTACCTCCCAGAGGTACCATCTCCAAATTCCGTCACCTTGGAGGTTCATGCTTCAACATATGCCTTTTAGAGGGAGGGGACATGGTTTAGTTCATAGTAGTAGGATAAGAGCCAATTATTTCATCTTTGTATTATACCATGGTGTCAGCAATATCTTACTTTGATGTTCAAATAATGGTGGTTGTGTATATGAAGACTTAACTGTTCAGCTTGTAGTTGTGTTATTTTTGACAGTGTATTTATTAATTTTAATCCATGCATAGTTATGCCAGAAAGTATAATTAAATGTTATTAGCTTTACTGGTAGTTTTGTACAATTAAGGATGTGTCATGTACTGTAATTTGTCTAAATTTCCTTGCATGCGTTTATATTTTTATACAAATTAATAAGACAGCTATCTGGGTTCATTTCAGCAAGCTTGTGGTTTTGAGTATACCTCTAAACTTCAGCGGATGTTTCAAGACATTGGTGTAAGCAAAGATTTGAATGAGCAATTCAAAAAGCACCTGACGAATTCAGAACCACTAGACTGTGAGTATTTGTGTGTTTATAAGCTGCTTTCACAGGCAGTGTTCTTGTCGCAAATGAGAAGTGACCAAATATTAAGTAAGGATGGCAGATACTTTGTTAGAAATTCAAGGACGTAGAAGCAGGACGTTTCCCCAGGTGTCCTACCGTCTTCCTCCTGGCTCCCGTGTGACAGTAGGAGATGGCCGCCACGGCAGCCCTGTCAGTGCTGCTGCTGGCTGAGAGCCCCGGGCGTCCAGCTGACCTGTACCCAGGTCCCAAGCCCCACCTCTTCTGCTGGCTGACTTGTTCGCCCGACACACAGGCCAAGGATTTGTTTTATCTTGTTTTAAACCTTAGTTTGGATGATCCATTGTAGCATTTTTTTTTTTTTTAATTATAAGAAACTCACTTGGCCTATGTAGATAACAGAGTCGAATACAGACTGTGGCTTCAGATTTGCATTGGGGACTAGTGCAGGCTGGCGCAGGTAATTCATTTCCCCAGGAGAGGCGGCTGGGCCCATGTTAGGGTGTTGCTGTAGTGGTAGGCGGGCAGACTTATGCTACAGCTTCATATAAGTTTTGTCTTTTTAAATGAAAAGTGACTAATGTTATTTTTCCTAAATCAAAAATACTACTCCATGCCCATGCCGGGCACAGTGGCTCACACCTGTAATCCTAGCACTCTGGGAGGCCAAAGTGGGAGGATCTCTTGAGGGGAGGAGTTTGTGACCAGCCTGAGCAAGAGCGAGACCCCGTCTCTATAGAAAAAAAAATTAGCCAGCCAAATAACAGTAGAAACAAAAAATTAGTCGGGCATCATGGTGAGCGCCTCTAGTCCCAGCCACTCAGGATTGCTTGAGCCCAGGAGTTTGAGGTTGCTGTGAGCTAGACTGATGCCACGGCACTCCAGCCTGGGCAACAGAGTGAGACTCTGTCTTTAAAAAAAAATTACTACTCCATTGTTGAACTTGACAGTTTTACCCATAGACTTCTCAGCTATCTGTGAAAATGAAGTTGTTATAATTAGTAGATTCTGCATGTACATAGTGCGTGTCTTTTCACAGCACTAAGTAATAGACAAACCGTAATGAGGACAGTTGCTGACTTCTGGGTTTTCAGTCTCCATGGGTTCGGCCGCGACGCCGTGCGTGGTAGGCACGGTGTGGCGCGAGTGGACGGAAGTCCTTTGTGGCAGACACGAGGAGCAGATGCAGCAGAACAGGCACGGGACGACATGATGCTGGGCTGGAAGTTAAATGGAAAACTGCCACTCTCGCAGGGAAAGAATTTCTGGCGCCTCCACCTTTTACTAATTTTAACTGAGTAAAATGGGTCGAAACCATGTATGTTCAATTCTTAATGTTATATTCAGGCAGGCTTTCTCATTTACTGTACTTTCCTTTACTAAAGAGCAGCCCGTGCCGGTGTGAAATGATTGCCCTTTCAGCCGATGAGGCGCACTAAACGTCTCCTGCGTTTCCCTCCGCAGTGGACTTCAGCATCCAGGTTCTGAGCTCGGGGTCGTGGCCGTTCCAGCAGTCGTGCACGTTCGCCCTGCCGTCCGAGGTGAGCCGGTCTGCGTGCTGCTGCAGTGCCGAGCGGCTGTGGGCAGGGGCGGCCGCAGCGGGCGGCGGGGAACCGCGGGTGTGGCGGGGAACCGCGGGTGTGGCGGGGAACCGCGGGTGTGGCGGGGAACCGCGGGTGTGGCGGGGAACCGCGGGTGTGGTGGGGAACCGCGGGTGTGGCGGGGCAGCCCGGGGCGCCCGTGTCCGGCTCCGCAGCGCGTGCGTGTTTGCGCGTAGGTGGAGCCCGGGCGGGCGTGCGGCGCGGCGTGGCGGTGCCTCGGGTTCTCGACGTAGACGCCTCTTGTCGTTGCCCTCCTGGTGCTCTAGAGCACTGTACGGGAGAGGAGCCGCCCTCGCCCGTCCTGTGCGCGGGGCGGGACCGTGCGGGCCGGGCGGGGATTCACGGCCGCCGTGCTGTCCCCCGCAGCTGGAGCGCAGCTACCAGCGGTTCACAGCCTTCTACGCCAGCCGGCACAGCGGCCGCAAACTGACGTGGTTGTATCAGTTGTCGAAAGGAGAGCTGGTAACTAACTGCTTCAAAAACAGGTATACTTTGCAGGTAAGATCACCTCTTAATCGTAAAATATTCTTTGAATTCTAAATGAAAATAAGATGAAATGTAGAGATTTAGTGTTTGGCACAGCTCCTGCCCGGCACACAAAAAGTGTTCAGGTGGCTCAGGCTTAAGAAGCTGGAGCTACACGTGTTCAATTATGATAGCAGCTCTTACCCAAAGCAGTTTCACATTAATAATACCCTTCAGTGCTTACAGCAATAGTGAGTATTAAATAATAATGATTATGCAACCAAACATGTTTCCATTTTGTAAATGATAAAACCTGAGGCTCAGTTTAATTTAAGTGACTCTTTCTGGATGCTAGCTTATATGTGACCAACCCAAAATTTCAGTGAAGGTCTTTTCTCTTTAAGAAGTCCAGGCTTAGGAGTCTCTCTGAACCTGCTCTGGTTGAAGAGCTATCTGATTAAAAAAAAAAAGTCCAGGCTCTTCCTACTTTAACTTTAGTAGAGGGTGGGCCTCACAAGTAATCGCTTATTTTAATCTCTGAGAAGATTTCACTGGTGAGCTCGAGAGAACAATTACAAGTCTGTGTTTAAGGGTCAAGAAACTTCAGAATGGGTTCTGCAGACACAAGTTGCATGTTAATTTAAACTTTCAATGATTTTACTCTGATAAGATAGTTAAAATGTGTAATATTCTGGTATGCTGGTTCCAAATACCTTCATCAACTTGAATGTATATTACTGTACAGTTGAAATTTTGTTTTATTTATCCCCAGATATACACAGAGGAATCCATTTGCTTATACTATGGTACCTAAAATTTTAGTACCCCATTTTTGACCAGGCAGAGGCCTTGCATGGGGTGTGTCTGCCGTGTTAAGGCACAATATAAAACACTAGCATTGTGCTCGGCCTGCCCTTGTGTTTTTACAGAAGGCCCAGAAGCACTGTTGTCTGTGGTCTGCCCCAGAACAGGCACACACGTCATTGTTCTCTTTTCATTAACCAAGATTCTGCCTAGGCAAACAGTGGTGGTCTGGCACACAGCTTGTTCCTGTGGATTATGTAAGAGAAGAGGGGAGAAGTGAGGAGGGATTGTTCACGGGGTGTTCAATTGCTGCACACACTCAGAAATTTGAACCAGGCTGGTCATGGTGGTTCACACCTGTAATCCCAGCACTTTGGGATGCTAAAGTAAGAGGATTGCTTGAGGCCAGGAGTTCAAGAGCAGCAGTCTGAGCAACATAGTGAGACCCCGTGTCTACAAGAATTTAAAAAATTAGCCAGGTGTGGTGGTTCACTCCTGGAGTCCTAGCTACTCAGGAGGCTAAGACAAGGAGGATAACTGGAGAGCAGGTGTTTAAGGCTGCAGTGAGCTATGCACCACTGCATTCTAGCCTGGTGACAGAGCAAGACCCTGTCTCAAAGAAAAAAAGCAGGAAGTGGGGGTGGGGGGGATTAGGAACCTGCCCGTGCTACCTGGTGCGTAGTGTACTCTCTAGTATTAAAAATAAAAGATACCTTAGAGCAGTTGTGGTTTACTATAAACCATTTCATACTTTACTTTTCATACTTCCATAGTAAAATACTTAGGGTTAAAAAACAAATATATTAATAATATAATTCAATAGGCAGGCTGTTTTCTATCAATAATGTACCAAAAAGATTATTTCCCTTAACGTGTTTGCAAAAACAAATTTGAAGTTTGATGCTTGATGTGTCTGTATATATACCACGTGTGCATGAATGTGTTTATATAAATGAGTGCGGATGCATATATAGTGTATGTTTACATAGACAATACATTTTAGAAGAAAATTCCAAATTATTTTAATGTTTGAAAAGGTAGAAAATGACTTGTCTTTTGGGGAAAATGTTTTGTCATAACGGCATTGCTAAACTTTGTATTCCCTTTTATGAATGAAGATCTGCTTCATTCTTGCATCTGTTTGAAGAATTTGTTTCATAAATAAGTTCTTTAAACATAGGCGATATATTTTGGGAGTTTTTTTCTGTGCATTTAAATTTTTCTTCTCTTTCTTTTACATGGGGGGCCTCAAAGGCATCTACGTTCCAGATGGCAATCCTGCTTCAGTACAACACGGAAGATGCCTACACCGTGCAGCAGTTGACTGACAGCACGCAGATTAAAATGGTATTTGTGTCATTTTGCAACTTCTTTAGCATAGCAAGTTGCCATTTTCTTGTTCTTGTGGATATTGTAGGGGAGATATGGGGAGAGAGGATATGGGTGTCTTTGATTCAAATACATATTTGCCTCATGAATATGAACATGCTCTTATTCCAGGAATTTAGTACATGTTACCAAAAACTTAAAAACTCAGTGTGACACATCCACCATGACATGCTTTTCTCTCATTCACTTAACCAGTTCTTTTCCAGCTAGGCTTTTCTTTAACTTAAATTTTCACTTAATTTTAGTAGTATTTTTCTTTTTCTTTTTTTTTTTTTTAGACAGAGTCTCGCTTTGTTGCTCAGGCTAGAGTGAGTGCCGTGGCGTCAGCCTGGCTCACAGCAACCTTAAACTCCTGGGCTCAAGCGATCCTGCTGCCTCAGCCTCCCGAGTAGCTGGGACTACAGGCGTGCACCACCATGCCCGGCTAATTTTTTCTATATATATATATATTAGTTGGCCAATTAATTTCTTTCTATTTATAGTAGAGACGGGGTCTCGCTCTTGCTCAGGCTGGTTTTGAACTCCTGACCTTGAGCTATCTGCCTGCCTCAGCCTCCCAGAGTGCTAGGATTACAGACGTGAGCCACCGCACCCGGCTGTATTTTTCTTATTAGTCAAATTTTTATTGAGATATATTTCAGATAACATAAAATTTCACATAACATAAAAACTCACCATTTTAAAGTGTACAACTTAGTGGTTCTTAGTATAGTCACAAGTTAACACAACCACCACCACTGTCCAATTCTAGCACGCTTTCATCACCCCAGAAAGAAACCTGCTCCCATTTGTAGTAACGACCTTTTACCCCCAGCCCAGCCCTGACAACCATTAATCCACTCTCTGTCACCATGGATTTGCCTACAGCGGACCTTTCATATCAGTGAAATTACATAACATGTGATGTTTTGTTTCTGCCTTCTTGCAGTAGTGTATTGTTTCCCGAGTTTATCCTTGTTGTAGCATGTATCCGCACTTCATTCTTTTTTATGATTAATATTCTAGTGTCTGGATGGGACCACATTTGTCCATTCATAGGTTGATGGGCATTTGAGTTGTTTCTGCCTTTTGGTTATTCTGAATAAAACTGCTGTGGATATGTTTTCAGTTTTCCTGGATCTATACCTTGGTGCAGAATTGCTGGGTCATGTAACAACGATGTATTTAACTTGTTGAGGAAACTGCAAACTGTCCCACAGTAGTCATACCATTTCATGTTCTCCCCAGCAGTGTGTGTGAGGATTCCAATTTCTCCACATCCTCACCAACATTTGTTGTTTTCCTTTTTTAAAAAAATTGCAGTCATTGCCAGGCGTGGTGGCCTGCGCCTGTAGTCCCAGCTACTCTGGAGGCTGAGGTGAGAGGATCACTTGAGCCTGGGAGTTCTGGGCTGTAGTGCTCTGTGGCAATCAGGTGTCCACACTAAGTTCGGCATCAATGTGGTGATCTCCTGGGAGCAGGGGACCAGCAGGTTGCCTGAGGAGGGGTCAACTGCTGGCCCAGGTCAGAAAATGGAGCAGGACATAACTCCTGTGATGATCAGTAGTGAGATCGCACCTATGAATAGCCACTGCACTCCAGCCTGGGCAACATAACAAGACATGTCCATCTCTTTGAAATAAAATTATAATCATCCCAGTGGGCGTGAAGTAATACTGTGGTATTGATTTGCATTTCTCTAATTCTAAACATTCTAATGATGTTTAGAATCTTATACTTGGTCATTTGTATATCTTCTTTGGAGAAATTTCTGCTCAAATTCTTTGCCCATTTTTTGATTGGGTTATTTGTCTTTTTATTGTTGAGTTGTCAGAATTCTTTATATAGTAGACCCTTGTCAGATGGATGGTTTTTAAATATTTTCTCCCATTTTATGGATTGTCTTTTCACTTCCTTTTTTATACACACACATTTTTACTTTTAATGACGTTCACTTTGTTTTTTCTTTTGT